TTTTACTGATTTAATGTCAAGTTTTTTATTAATTTACTTTGTTTTTTGCCAGAAATGATACCACTTTTAGATATTCTGCTACTTAGTATTTATATTATTACGTTTTTTTATTTTACGTTATTTGAAAAAATAAAGGCAAAATAATTAATAAATATATATGTTTCATTACCATCAATTTATGTTTAGATATTACTTTTACCATGGTACGCTAACGATTACTTTTGCACGTTACTGAAAACGTAGGAGGGTATTATTTTGTAAAATAACGTGTACAATGATGGCAAAGGGTGAGTGATCGTTAGTGACGGCTGTTTATAAAACCACGAGGATGTCGAACAGCGAATGTGCCAAATCACGAACCTGAACGGAATCACGAACGAATTCAGAATTTGTCCTACACCGAACAAGCGACGCTAAATGCCAGCTGATTCGCATGTTATTCATACTGATTCGATTCGCATACGCATTAAAAAAAATTAGTCCAATTTTATTCAGTTTGTATGAAATTTTACCAACTTGCTGTCCCGATTTTTTTCGTCCAATACGGTGAAGATCCTTACATGAAAATGAGTCGATCAGCAATAATTTTGTTCATTGTTGGACAACTCGCGCTTGACCAAAAAAATTGAAATTATTTTCATGAAAAAAGATTTAAGATTTATGCCATATACAGTTTTCTTGTATCTTCTATGGTTTCGAATTTCCCCATAATACCTTGGAGGATGGAAAAAAATAAATATCGTTCACACCTAGTACCGGGTGCACGAGTTTGCGTTTTTCGCTTGCTTGCGTTGGCTGGGACACGGTCACGGCATAGAAATCTGCCTTCCGCGCAAAGGTGCTCACGAGTCTTCCGCTTGCGTTGCGGAGAGACTTGCGCGCATGCGCGGCGCCTTGTCTTTGTTTTAACTCGTGAACCCAGGATTACACTTTAAAAAAACTTACGAAAAAAATTTAACTTGTGTAATTTCATTTTCGACTTAAGGGCCTGGCAGCACTGATTTTGTTTTCTGTTTGTTGACTCAAACATTCAAAGTATCCAGAGCCGTACAAAACAATAAAAAGTCTGTGTTTATTCCACTCGAAGGGGTGTCCACTTAGAAAATATATCGATGTTGTCATTCGACATAAAACATCGAAACCCTGCATCTATATAGTTCGATGCATCGCTTGAAAACATCGATGCTTTTTCAACATCGATGTTTTTTCAACATCGAAAACTTTTATAGCCCAACAGTGAACGCAGAGTAACAACCAATAGAATGATGCTGTCGCTATAGTGGCATGTTTAATTTTATGATACTGTATGTTAGTTTAGTACTACTGGACATTGGAAGAATTCTATTCAAGAAAAGCCAGAAACTTAAAAAAAATAGTATTGCATGGGTAACACGTAGCTGTATATGTAAAAAAAATCAAATTAATATAGATAGTTACTTGTGCAAGGCTGCAAAGTTGCTGTTTGACGCGATTGCTTATAATGAAACATGAACAAGCGAAGGAGACAAAGATTTCTAATGACAAAGAAAGTTTTTCCGAGGTAGTGAAGTGGACAAAATATTTAATTCAAGAAAATTCATATTCGTTGAGGGAATGGTTTTTGCGATTGGATATACTGTTTAAAATAGACAAATAAGTTCGGATACTTATTCAATTGTTCATTCACAGAAGTATGAAATAAATTAGGATTACAAATACAAATTAACGATGCGCGATTGTGAATGATTTCAATATTCGACACGTTAGTAATCGCTAATCGTGTCATTCGAATGACAAATTAGTAACTCATCATTACTAATTAGTAGTATTAATCCATAGATTCCATAGAGCATTTCTGTTCGTGATCATCTAGCCCTCTCTGACATATGGTATACACTGTAAATGTGACGGGGACAGGGATATTTTGTGGTATGGACATGATGAATGAGGTGTTCCGATATAATAATCATTTGACTCGTGCACCCAACCGATAAGGTATTCGGTATTGATAAATCATTCACCTCGAGTGTCGAATGATTGTGCTTGGATTCGACTTATTCGAATGATTTGCCCATTCGAATGATTAGTATTAGTATCATTCAAAGTCACGCATCGTTAATACAAATAAAATAAGGGTCGTATTCCAGAACTGTGCTCAATGTTCAAGTCAGGATTGCACTGGAAACACAAATACTGGAAATACGACCCTAATGGCAGGGACTTACAATTTCAAATTAAAATACAGAGGCACTAGTCTTTTCATAGTTTCATTTCATTTTCATGTTTTTATCTAAAAAAAAATCTATGCATCGATCGAACAGAATTTTAAATCAAAACATCTAATCAATCCAATGCACAGACCATCGATCCAATGTATCGTACGATAAACTTCGAATGGATTTACATACATCGTCGATGTTGAATATCCCTCCCTAAGCCGGGGTTTGTTTGTTTTCAATTTAACATTCGTGCTATACTGTTTTAATAAATTAAACATTTTAAAGTTTTGATAAATTGAATACGATACGATGGCCACAGCATATCTAGCTCAGAAATTGATGACATTAAAGCTTGACAAAGTCGAAGTGGACAATATTAGACAAATAAGAAACAGCGTTTTGAAGGAAAAACGAAAACTTGCAGTGTAAGTTATCTGTCACTGTTGCTTAAAATATTTAGTTGTCTTGAATAGATAATATTGCGCTCATAATGTTGTGGAAGGAGTAATTTGCTTTTACCCAACTTTTAACCAGCTATATTCAAAACTGCAGGTCAATAAAGCAGATAGTAAATCAACAGAAATGTCATAAAACATGCAGGCTCTGTCTTCGACCAGGAGATCAAAAGATTTGCGGCGGTCTCGATGATTCTCAATTCATTGCTAAAGACATCAAATATGTTACAGGCATAGAGGTTTGCTTACTTTGTACCCCTTGTATAATAGTCTTCTTGGCAAAATGTATAAAACTATATTATACACCATTAGTGACAAGTGACTGTATGCTGTATATAATATGTCAAAAATAAGAGTAATAGATAATAATTCTGCTTAAAAATATTACAAAATTATTAATAATAATTATGCTCTGTGTTTTTGGCAAAGGCCCTCTCTAGAATGTTTTCTGTTTCATTCTAAGATTCCGTTACTTTAGTGGAAATAAAAATTTGTTGTTTTCAGGTCCTAGTGAATGATGGAAAACCGCAGCACATCTGCAATACTTGTATGGAGAACCTCCAAACAGCTGTGAACCTTAAGAAAACAGCTGAGATCACCCAGTGGAGATTGCAAAAGGAATGTGAAATAGGTATACAAATATAGGTCATGAAGTATATTTAAGAATCTATAGTTCGACACTATCAATTAACACTATCTGGGCTAACTTAAAAATTGCAACTTTTCAACCTGGTTTGATCACATACTGAACAGGAGCTTTCTCCCACATACAGGTTGTGGAATGAACTCCTTGTCAGGGTATTCTCGTAAAAATACAGTATGGAGTCCTTCCTAAGGGGTCTGAGTAGGGTCGTAAAGGTTTTATAATAAAATATAACACACACCCTCATAACCCCGCTCTAGGGAAACCCTGTAACCCTGTGTCGGCAATGGAGGCAGTGTACAGAGAATTTTTCATCAATTTTCACTCAAGAAAATAAATCAGTGATCTCATGACAGCATAGCTCTACTTATTTCACCAGAAAAGAGAGACACGTAATGGGGGAATAGCAATTTATTTTAAATTATTTCCTGGCTCTCCACAATATTTTTTGTAAACTTGTCATCTAATAGATATGCACATTTTAACTGTTTCAGTTAATGAACAAGAAATAGAGGATTTAGTTAATACTAATCCTCCAGCACACAAGAAACATCATAATAGTTATTTTGTAGAGAAAGTATCACAGATTGTTAGGGAGTGGAGGTGTAAGGAATGTAATAATACTTTCCAAAATGAGGCAAGTGTAATGTTTTTATTCTGTAGACTAGCTTGTTATCAATAATTAAATTCTTTTTTGAAGAAGGAGTAAAATGACATCTGCTGGGTTGCCAGTTTTCATGAAATTTTAAATAGTCATGTAGTTGTTGTCGATAGTTTATTGTTACATTGTGAAATGTGGTAAAATTTTGCTAAATATGTCCCAATTGTGAATGTTACGACGTTCTAATGATTACTAATTGCGTTTTTGTCTTGCATTTTTATTAACTGCCTCCGTGGCCGAACGGTTACCATGCCGGACTGCCATGCAGAGGTCCTAGGTTCGATTCCCGGGCCGGGAGAAATATTTGTATAGCCTACATTTATTTGTCTCGTGAGTTTGGGTGTAATTTGTAATTGTCTATTTGTGTGTCCATGGCACCCGCGACACAGGGTTTCCCCGCACTAGGGAAATGTCGAGTGTGTGCGTTATTATTATTATTATTTCGACAGATGGCCTTCTAGTATGATAATAAATTTTTAATCATATACATTTTAATAAAGACAGGCGGATTTCATTCTGTATATAAAATTGAAATGAAAAACTTTCAAATATGTCCCCTTTGTATTTTTAATGGACATAGTTCTAAATGTAGTGCATGCATGTATGAAATTTCAAAACTTGACAATTCAAGTGAACCTGTGCCCAGCAGTTGGACGGATAATGGGCCAATGTTGATTCAAATGAAACAAATTCGGCTTTGTATTGCACAAGCGTAACCAGCATTCAATACTAAAGCCTGTATACATTGCCTGCATGGTCAGCACGACAAGCCGCGACTTGCGCGAGTGCGAGATCTCTATGCCAGACTAACAGCATCTCGCACTTTTTGTCGCTCTCGCGTTAGTCGCGCCCTATCGTGCTTGCACTACTACTTACAAGTGGGCAACACTTTTGCGCATTTACTCCATCTTCAAAAAAGACAGACTATAACACATATTAAGTTCTGTCTACCAAACAAAAGCACTACCGCAAATGTCATCTATATAGGAGTTAAAACAAAAATATTAATTTGAATCAACAGGCCGAGTTTACAGGACACGTGTGCCTTCGCTCCTGCAACTTCATGTGTGAGGTGTGCGGAAGTAAGCTGAAGACAATAGGCAGGCTTAAAAGGCACAGGTACACCCATAACATCATAAATAAACTTGTTTGTGCCAAAATTTGGACTGTTTTCTCTCTTATGTTGGCTTTTACTGTTGAGATTGAAAGAGCACGGTAACATTTCTTCATTGTTCAAGTAGTATTACTCCTTTTCATGTGCTTGGTTTATGGTCTAAGGTGGAGAAGCCTGACCTGAAACCTGCTTGTTCTTTGGTTGCTCTTCATCTAGCCTTTTCGCGATTCGGTTTAGGATGATCTTAGAAAATACGTTGTACACATTCGACATCAAACTTATGGGGCGGTAGTTATTCATGTCTCCTTTCTTGTGTATAAGTATGATGGTACTGTTTGTCCATTGTGAGGGGATAAATTCTGATTCGACTGTAGAGTTGTATAACTTAGTTAGACTCTTGACCGTACCTGAGAGGTTGCTCTTCATTTGTTCATTTGTTATACTGTCTGGACCTGGTGCTTCGACATTTTTCTGGGACAAGATAGCAACAGTGACTTCACTCTCTAGAATCGGTCGTATACTTTCTTTGTTTAGGTCTTCTAGTTCAATCTCCAAGTCGTCCGCCGCATCTTTGGCATATAGGGTTTGGAAGAAATCTGTTGCTACGTCTAGTATTCTGTTCCTCTTTGTCTCTTGGAGGTTAGCTTTGTTTTTCATTTTTGGGATCCACTCTTTGGACTCTTGTAACTCTTTCAGGGCCTTCCTTATTCCACCTGTCTACATAACATGTTGTTTTATGCATTCGATTCGGTGTCGTGATTTATCCTTTTTTATGGCGTGGCTTATTTCTATAATAATAATAATAACGCTCACACTCAACATAGCCCCGCACTAGGGAAACCCTGTGTCACGGGTGCCATGGACACACACATAGACAACCACAAATTACACCCAAACTCACGAGAGAAATAAATGTAGGCCATACAAACATTTCTCCCGGCCCGGGAATCGAACCTGGGACCTCTGTGTGGCAGTCCGGCACGGTAACCGTTCGGCCACGGAGGCAATTAAAATATACTTATCTTATAAAATACTTATCTTAGTGATCTGTTTTAAATTTTGTTTGTCCTTCTTGCTCTTGAATAGCTCTTTTTTTTATTTTTTTTTATACATGACAGGCAAACGACTCCACTCCACCTGATGTTAAGTGGAAAGTGGTATCCAAACGCGAAGGAACCTAGTGCAGCGATGAAACCCTCACTGCACTTGCCACCTCCACCCTGCCTGCCTACAATATGCCTCTTCACGCCTCGTTTGAAGGACCCCATATCATAAGAGGGAGGGAAGACGTGCCGGAAGGGAGTTCCATTTGTCAACCGTGCGGCAAAGAAAGGAGCCACCGAACCTTTTAGTACGCGATGGAATGCGGCAGGTAGTGAAACGGTGACTACGAAGGCCAGCACGCGTGTTTCTGAGCAGGAACGGGGAATTCTTTGCTTGTTTTTTCTTAAAATAACTATTCATGTAGAGAGAGAGAGAGGTTTTGTTCTTTTGTTTTCGCTCCTCTTCCCCACGCCAAATTTCCCTATCACTGATTCTTCGCCTGGGTTTTGTGTTCCGATTCTGCCTTTAAAGTCGCCCATAACCACCACATGTTTGTTTGCGTCTTGTAGGGTTTCTGAGAGTTCTTCATAAAATTTATCTTTTAGACTATCGTTGCTAGTTTCTGTTGGTGCGTATATTTGAGTGATGGACAAGATTTCCTTGGAGCCTGGTATACTTATGTTGACGACTGCAATTCTTTCGGTGATTCCCTTAAATTCTATAATAAATCTTTTCAGGTGGCTTTTAACCATGAAGCCAACCCCATATCGGACTTTGGTAGTTCCTTTGTAGAACAGAACGTAATCTTTGTGTTCTTCCGTTGTGTTTTCTAACCTTCTCACCTCGCTCAATCCTAATATGTCCCATTTTATACTTTTCAGTGCGTCTTCTGATTCAATTAGCCTTTCCTCTGTTCTAAGTGTCAAAGCATTAAGTGTAGCGACGTAAATTTCTTGTTTTGTTTTCGCCGGGAAGTTGTGGTCTGTCGTTGCACGGGGACCAATCGTCTTGGAACCTTTAGTATTATTTGTGATGTTCTCTAACTCTTTTATATGGTATTTGATCTTCCGGTTGTCGGTGCGTGTTGATTGCTATTGACTTCCAGGCAGAGTGCTCGATCTGGGTCGATTCATAAATTCAAAGGCGTTTCTTTTATTTATTTTATTTTTATTTGGGGCCACACGTCTTGGGCTGTCCTTATTTTCGTTATTCGTTTGTGTTGGTGTTTTTGACGGCAACCTTTTCTCGTTTCCCTTTTCCTTGTGATTCCTTTCCTTGATTATGAGTTTATCATATCGAATAAGAGCCAGATTTCCTTTCTTGACTTGTTCCTGTTGTTTAAGTTTTAGTTGTTTTTTTATTTCAAGTATGTCCTTTGGGAAATCTTCAGATGCGTAAACATTTGTGGGAAAATTTTTATTGTTTTTTAATATTTCTATTCTCCTCCATGCGAGGGTAATTTTTATCAGTATGGGTCTTCTCTTTCTTGTGCTCTTTTTTCCCCAGTCTACGAACTTCGCTGATTTCCCATTTATCGAAAGGTTCAATCTAAGGTTTGCTGACGATTTAGTAATATTTTCCACGATCCTGTTTCCCTACAATACATGATCCAAGGCATTGCAAACTATAAGCAAAGAAGTGGGGTTAACCATTAATAAAGCAAAAACCAAAGTAATGACTAACATATCTGAAAAACCTCTAACTGTAGATGGAGAATACATTGATTATGTAGGTCCTACATTTATCTGGGCCAATTAGTATAGTGATCAAACTGAGCAAGAAATAGAAAAAAGGGTTACCAACTCTTGGAACCGATATTGGTCACTCAAAGACATTTAAAAACAAGCGCTATCCTGTGGCAGCAAAGAGAAAGCATCAATAGAAACATCTGCATCCTCCCAATTTTGACCTATGGATGCCAAACATGGGCATTGACTAGTAAACACTATGAGAAACTCACAACCTGTCAAAGAGGAATGGAGAGAAGTATGCTCGGATTCTCTCTAAGAGACAAAAACAGAGCTACAGACACACAAAGGCCCACCAAATTGGAGGATGCCACCACAAAAATCAAAACGCTAAAGTGGAAGTGGACTGACCACATGTACAGGGAAAAAATAGAAAAGTGGACCAGAAAGGTAAAAGAATGGCTACCAAGAGAAAACACCAAGAGTAAAAGAGGTCGTCCCTTTAAAAGATGGTCCGACGACTTTAAAAAAATAGATGGACCTCTATGGACTAGGCTAACAAGGGACATAGCCAGATGGATAGAGCTAGGGGAGACCCATGCGTCTTCAGGATGCTCTGACGTTATAGTTTAAGTAATTTATGAATGTCAATATAATATAGGTTAATAAAAAAAAAGTGCTTGGATTATAATTGTTTTTCTTACACCACAGATTAACCCACCATAAAGGAGAACGTCCCCACAAATGTAGATACTGTAGCTTCTCAGCATTCACGCGATACGACATACAGATACATGAACGTTGGCACACAGGAGACCGTCCATTTCAATGCAACATTTGCTCCTGTACATTCACTTGCAAGTCTACATTGTGGAAACATCGGAAGACACACGAACCACCAAAATTTCATTGCAAACTGTGCCCACGGAGTTTCAGATTCAAGCAGGTATGTTACTTATAATCACAGATCTAAATGGACTGAGTATATTTACCTAAACTACAAGTACCCTAAAACTCAATTTCTAAATTTTATTACAGGTTTTACGAGATCACATAGCCAATTTCCACACCAAACTGATGACTCATCTGTGCAATTATTGTGATAAAGCTTTTGCTACCAGGCAAGTTAAATTTCAATTACTGCCTTATACTTGAAGTTCTTAGATGTGATTTGTGCAAGTAACCAAAGCTCCCTGTAGGAGTTAAGTCATTCAGACAGTTTGATAACACTGAAAAATTTGGATTAAATTTTGACTAATTCCTCCATCAGGGATCCTGTAATGAATGGCGGTGGGCCATGGCGAGCCTACCTAATATAACGTGACAGCAACCGTCACACTAACTATTCATATGTAATTAAGTAAAGTATAATCGCAAACAATTTATGCCAGTACAAGCTAAACTAGTTTTTGGGGAAATGCACCGCACATTGAATGCATATTCAAACCCCAAAAGAGATGTATTCGGGCTATATGCGGCTTTAAAAAAACAGATAACTGTTAACCACATTTAAAAAATTTTAAAATACTGACTCTACCATGCTTATATATATTTGAAATTTCACTTTTCGTGAATCGTCATCTTCATTTATTTGAATTCGTCACACGAGCCCGCCGTTCTCATCAACTGAAAAGTAGATCATGTAAAACTGCTCTACTTCAAAAGAGTGTAATAGTAATGGCTACGAAGGTATGTAACAAACTTCCACTTGAAATTAGGAATTGCAACGATTGTGCAGAATTTAAGAAATTATTATTTAATTTCCTAAATGATAGGACATTCTATAATGTTGAAGATTTCTTATAAAATTTACATTACATATTATTAAATTTGTTATTGATTATTTTACTATTGTTATTATGTTTCATTAGTATTAGGTTGCATTAATTGGACTGCATGATTATAATATTATTACAAATTATTGCATGAGAATTACTAAAACTAAGAAAACTTTGTATGCCATAAGGCGGATTACAGTGATTCAAAATTCATTCTTGTAACAACTTTATAACCTGTGTATCACAAAGAAATAAATGATTTGATTTGACTAGTTTTTTACCTTTTCGGAAAGGGTCTGTGGGCTCTTTGACATTTTGAGAAGGGTCCATGATTAGAAAAAGGTTAAGAAACCCAGCCAGCTAGATAGACTTTGCAGTCTAACTTTCTTGGAAATTATCGGCCCCTGAAGAAAAATGATTAGAAGTAAACGTGTTTAAGGTCTAATCTATCAGAAACAAACAATAAAAAATAGACCAAATTAAAAATGTTAGTTTTCAGTGTCATTTTCATACAATCCAAAGCATGAATCAACACCAACAGTGCCCATACAAAATGTTTCAAATGAGATATCATTACACTATTCTGCATATAAAAGATGCATAGTTAAAATGGAATGCCCTAATTTATTACATTTACAATGTTAATATTCTCTCTAATTTATGTATGTATGTTAGGCTTAGTCGATGAATGGCCAATTCGCAAAATGGCTACTAGCTAAAATGAGGGCTATTTCGCGGAATGACTAGTTCTGAATATGGCTAACTCTCCAATGGACTAATTCTACAAACGGCCAATTCTCGAAATGGCTGATTCTTGGAATGGCCCATTCTTGATAAGGCCAATTCTTAAAATGGCCAATTCTTGAAATGGCCAATTGTGAAAATGCGCGTATAGCCTAGAGGTTGAAATAATTACTGCATAAATGAATTTCAGGATATTTATTTTCGCACCTTGACACCAAAAAAAAACAAAAATTTTACCACTAAACGAATACTGAACAAAATCATCATTGATTAGGTACGCTCTACTACTGAAGAATGAGCAAGAAACTCTGAGAGTTGGTCTTTATAAATAGAATAGTTGTTTACATTTTCATCATCTTTACAATAACAATTAAAAAAAATATCATTAGAACAAGCAAAAGTCAATGGATTTTTTATGCAAAATGAATAAAATTGATAAACTCAGTTTCTTATAACAATGATTTTATTGTATTGAAAAAAAGAATCTTGACAGCAGAAGTTGGTCACATTTAATATAATGTTATTAAGTTAATATTACCAACTTCTGCTGTCCCGATTTTTTCGTCCCAAACATTAAAACGATCCCTTTATGAAACTGAGTCGATAAGCACTAAAAGACAATTATATTCAATTTTATTAATTTTTTAGGGCAACTTACGCTTAACCAAAAAATTGACTTTGCCAAAATCGTTTTCACATAAAGAAACTCAATGGGTCCTAAAACAGAATCCTTGTATCTTCTATGGTTTCCGATTTCCGCATGTTATCGAATAAAAAAATACTGTACAAATTCTACGTTTATAAATGAAATTAAAAAAAACACAAAATAAAGAAAATACACAAATTAAACGTGTTTTGGAATATACATTCCAAAGATTCGTTATGTTTCCACATTTATATGGCGAACTGCTATGGTGTAGATTTCCATGCCTTCTGACTTATTTCCTGAGCGTTATAATTTGGGCCTTTTCAAGGCGAGAGTGATTAGACATTATTTAAGTGTGCTTGCTCTATCGTCGACCTCATCGTCACTTTCCATCAGTTGAGATGGAGGTCAAGTGCGCACTATTATATTATTGAAAAAAAAAACAAATAAAACAAAATAAAGAAAATAAAATAAATGAAATAATTAAAATAAAATAAATAAAATAAGTAAAAATAATCAGAGAAAAAGGATACACACTACATTAAAAACTGTAAATAAATAATTTTCTTGAAAAAGTCCTGCACCGTTATCTCGTGCCTTTTTAGTTTTGTTACAATATGTTTGTATTTTTTATCAAACATAATGTCTCTATTTGCCCGATTTTTTCTTTGCTTTTCAAATAATGTTTTCTTAATTTTTACGTCAAAATGCTTTGATTCCCCTCGTATTTTGTGGATGAAGTGAAATAAGCTGGGACGTTTCGGAATGATGACATTTAGGCGGCGATGCCAACCACAGACTATTAGATGATGCCAACCTTCAATAGCATTGGTGGTCCGGTGGCGTTGACCAGCACAACTTAATAAAGTTGGGGTCAGGCGGTGCCATTGTCTCTCTAAATATTTTTGGAAATCTTTCATTGCATAAGACAGACTTTCTATCTTCCCATAAATGATTTGCCATCCTTCCGGTATAAAACGTGGGGGCAAAAGAGGCATGACGGCGGCTATCCGAATGACTCTTCTATTTTCCTTACAATTAGTTAAACCCATTTCCTTTGCTTTTTTCCAAATAGCCTGCTGGTAATGAAAGTAACAACCGGTTACCTTTGCGTCCGGGTAAATTTCGCTAACGGCATTCATTACCGCCACCTCATAATCACATTTAAATTTTTTTATATTTAGTCCAAGCCGATCTTTGAATAATTTAAAAAGTCGCGTATACTTGAGTTGAGTCTTGTCCGGAAGAAGAGAATATATAATTGGAACAATATTTGTGGTATTTTCGTCGGAACCTATGTCAATATGGATGGTGTATAATTGGTAAAAAGGACGAGAAACACATTTGAATGTACCATCACCGTATAAGCACATTTTTGAGGCACGATGTATAATCTTTTTCGATAAATTTCGAAGCAAAAGCTATTATTTTATCTGTGCTCCCATCTTCGGCTACAAGAAAATTTTCTGCCAATCCTTCTGGGACATACACATCTTCTAAATTCTGGAATGTTAATCTACGTGCATGTAAAAATTTTTTCCTGGCGTTATAAAGAGAATCTTTTTTAGTGTGAAAATATGGAAGCTTAGTAACTATAGTTCCTGACATATTATCCAGTTCTTTATCGAAAATTCCCTTTATTGGCCCCATATTTTGTTTTTGAGTTCACTCATTTTGATAAAAATTTGGTTTTTGTCTGGGTCAGGTTCACAGACGTGTCGGGGTGCTCTTAGTATCCTTGTTCTGGTAGAATCTATAGTTATAGATCCACTACACTCATTTTTATTAGCACATCTCCAAAACGTACTTTGATTTTTATTTGTCCTGTTTCTTTTATTATACCTGTATCCATTTAGTAATAACGTTTCATTACCTTTTTGATTTTTGTCGAAAATAAATGTGTTTTCTTCCATTATGAAAGTTGTCACAAATAAAATAATACAAAAGAAACTCAAAAGTCACAAACATGGATAAGATTATATGAAAATGTATTAAAAACTTTTTAACGCGCGACTTTTAGAATAAAATCCCATTGAAAATAATTACTACGATTTTCAAATATCCCTCACGCAAGGGCAAAATAAATTTTGCAGATTAGCCATTTTAAGAATTGGCCGTTTTTATAATTGGGCCTTTTAGGAAGTAGGCCTTTGTCGAATTAGCCATTTTGCGAATTAGGCCTATATCGAATTGGCCATTTTGCGAATTGGGCCTATATCGAAATAGTCATTTTGCGAATTGGGCTTTCCTAGACTGGTAGCCATTTTGCGAATTGGCCATTCATCGACTAAGCCGTATGTTATTATTCTCTCCATTCATACTACTGATTTGGAGTGTCCAATTAAAACATGTATCAAATGTTGACAGAAGGAAGATGCTGAAACACGAGAGAAAAGTACACAAGCGCCCTAACTTGAGATCTGTTATAAAGAAAGATCCATCGCTGAAGAATGTTGCATAGCTGACTGTCCTTCTACAAAACTAGAAAAAGGATGTAGTTTACATATTTAAGTTTATTTGCACTTGTTATTGTGAAGTAATATAAAATTCAATAAAAAATGCTGTTTAATTTTGTAACCTGGCTGAATTTTCCATCCTTTAGGACAGGCTAAGGCTTTTAAGCCATACTGCCAGATCTTAAGATTTAAACTTTCGTTCAATTAGAAACCTGGTTGAATAAGAAATCGAGGAATCATTTTTCAGGCTGTATGTTCTATTTACCACAATGTAATGTTTTGCACATGGAGTTTAAGAATAGAATAATTATATCTATTTGTGAATATTATGACAAGCTTACTGAATTGTTTATACCTATGTAGAAGCACTCTATCAATTTGTACAATACTGTCAATTGTAAGGGCAAAAGATGTATTTGGAAAGCCTACTGATATTAGATGGGATGGCAATGTTTGAAAATCAAAAACAGACATCAGTTTTTTTGGATTTTTATTTACTTACAGTCCTAACTGTCACATCACTTCTTAGCGGCCGCGCCTACCTTGGCTTTCTTGGTACCGCGCACCTTCTTCATTCTGTTCTTGCGTTCCTTGCGCTGCTTGCGTGTCGGTCGCTTCTTCTCGTATAGACCATGCCTCTGTAGCCTGTGCTTAGGCTCGAACTTCTTTGCTAAGTCCAGGGTATCGTAAATCAACGCAAAACCGGTCGACTTGCCACCGCCAAAGTTAGTCTTGAATCCGAATACGAAAACAACATCGGGGGTCACTTTGTACATCTTAGCAAGCTTCTCACGGATCTCTGTCTTGCTAACAGTGGGTTTCCCTGGATGTAAAACATCGCAGACCATCTGCTTTCGCGCCAACAACCTGGAAACCACAAAACGTTGTCACATAACCTCGTCTTCCACTGTCACACAAGCCAACAACTTTTCTCACTTGATTAGACTGTTTTACACATTAAATCCAACACATTGCACATTTACCTGTTGGTCATGAATTTGCGAGTGCGAATTGTCGCGGTTCCCTCAGTCATTTTGCCTTACTTTAAAGATTTCGGCGTAAACTACGCACGTGTCTCTAACAAAATCGCAGAGAAAAAGAACGTGCAGGTGTTGCCATAAGTAATATACGAATTTTCCAAATTTTCCATTTTCCTGGCATAGGAATTTCCGGTTAATCTATTTGCATTATTATGGTAGACCCTTAGAGTAACAATAACACCAAAATTTGAAAGTTCAAATTATTATTAATTCGTAGACACTAATTAAGAGTAAGTACTTTACATTTTACTTTTTATTCTTGAACTTTGATTCACAATAGGGTAAAATAATTAAATTGCAACATTGTAATTTCTTTTTTATAATGTGTTCAAGTTATGGATAAACTACTATAGTTACGTTCAAATAATTAATATATTTTAGTTTACCAAAAGGTTCGAAACGATCAAGAGTCTGCAGTTCGTTTAAATATTTCCCATTGCCCTTGAACTTGTGCTATATTCGTATCGTTGTAAAAAATCAAAATTAATGCTCTCACGCTATAAAGTTTAGGCAGAAAGTTGACTTATAAAATAATAGAAGACTACGATTTTCCTATTAAATCACTAAGGAAAATATAGTTTTCTTTTGATAGTAATGTTGGTAAATCAGTAATGCTAAGTTAATCTAACTGAAGTGTTAGATACCGCGTTGATATCTAATTTGTAAACTTTCTTTAGTTTTATAATCTATTAAGTTCAACGAGTACGTATTTAAAGAAAATTAAGGGTTGAATCGATTTAGTATATGTGTAAGTAAACAAATAGTTTAGTTGGTCTCCTAAGGTTACCCACTTGAACTTCGTCACAATGTTTTCCATTATTATTTTTCATACCAAGAATAAGTTTGGCGTAGGCGCCTGACCTTGTAGTTAGCAAACAAACTCTATGTACAGATCTATCACGATATTATCAGGCGCTCTACCAAAGCGGGCCCAAGGGAGAAATAATGGTTTTATATCACGTAAAAGCATTTTCGCGTTACCTTGACGTGACAGCAAAGATTAAATTATTTTTATACTAAGTTTAATTAGACAGGAAACTTCTTTGAGTTATGTTAACAGTTTAAGTCCATTTGTTATATTTTTTACGGGGACTATGCACCGTATTACGTATGGTAATTATGTCGTTAATTATACAATCAGAGATAAGAAAATTTGTTAATACATAGTAATATCACAATATTGTTATTTAATTAAACGGTTACGTATCTGATATGCGTATAGGTAATGAATTCATTTTATAAATATGAACACATAATGAAGTCAGTGTGGTCTGTTACCGCTTATTAAAAAAAGTCTCTACTGATTAAACTGATTTTTAACCGACTTCAAAAAAGAAGAGGTTTTTAATTCGACTGCATTTTCTTGCGTGTAGTTATCTCCGGCCGGCATTTGTGAACCGATTTGGATGATCCCTTTTTTGATGAAAAGAGGGTACCTCAATATAGGTCCCATTTAAATTTGAAGAAAATATTCACCTCCAAGAGTGGCAGACTAGTGGATGAATCCGGTTTCATGCAATTTCCGGTAACCGATTTCAAAAAAACTTGGTATATAGATGTAACTCCACGAACTTTTGAGGTCGGTTTTTTAAAATAAAAAGTTAATCAATATTTAATTTTGTATTATAAAATAATGGGAAAGAATCTGTTTCGAATTGAAGAAAGTAATCGACGATACATAGACGTCACACAGGTTATCGCGTTAGTTTTTTCAATTCAGTTACATAAAAATTAAATTCTACCTAACTCTCCTTTTACACTATAAGCTATGACGTCACGTCTACGTCACTACGGTATACGCAAACCTTACCCACTGTAACTTGATCCATGACTAGACTAGCTGACCTTTATGAGTTATTAACAAGAGGGGGTGTGAAAGAGATCTTATAGACTGGTCCGTGTTACCACCCTCCTATTGATCGTTGGTTACTGGGAGCCTGTTTATTGTCTGAGATCGCAACGAGCGCATGTGCCTTCGGGAAAAATATTTAAAAAAGTATCATAATTTTAATAACTAACTTGCAAGTAAGTGGTAGTTCTTTTTAATAGTTAATTTAGAGGAACTTTTCTGTAGTTGTTTAGACAATGTAGACTGGTAACGTGTTTTTGACATTTACGCAACAAAAAGCATTTTATCAGCGGTGCAGAGGTTATGTTCGTACAGTTCAAGGCCTTGTGTTACACTCTTTGTAACGAAGATAATGCAGTTGTTTTTTTATGCATATATATTTTCATTTGCTTGTCAGATATCAGTACATACTTACGTACAGTGAACTATTTGAATTTTGTTTATCATTCTTCAATTAAATATAGGTATGTCATATGTTAGGATTCATAAGATCTTTACGATATTATTAAACAAATATGGGAAAGTTATGAATGTGAATAAATATGTTGAACTGCCTCCATGGCCGAACGGTTACCATGCCGGACTGCCATGCAGAGGTCCCAGGTTCGATTCCCGGGCCGGGAGAAATATTTGTATGGCCTACATTTGTTTGTCTCGTGAGTTTGGGTGTAATTTGTAATTGTCTATTTGTGTGTCCATGGCACCCACGACACAGGGTTTCCCTAGTGCGGGGCTATGTCGAGTGTGTGCGTTATTATTATTATTATGTACCATCTGGAGATTTTTACTGCATTTTCTCAGACAATTATTATTAACATTATGAATTTGACGATTTCAAGTGTAATTGTTAACCTACGAAATAGAGAATAAGTAATCAATTAGATAATACAAACAGGTAAGTTTTGAATGTATTTTAATGCTAGAAACTACCCACAAAGTTTTGTAGCAACTTTTTATTTATCGTAGAAGGGACGTCTCAGCCCGCACTGAAATGATTCCGCGAAACGATGGCTCGCGTTTCTTTGTCGATAGAAATATTAATGATGCTAGGTACGGATAACGGCACATCAGACTACACATTTTGTTCGAAAATCGCCTGCAGTGCAACGGAACAAGATACGCCAATGTGTAGCTTGATGTGCTGGCGTGTGTACAAGATTGGTATTGAAATGAATTAAGCAAAACAGGTAATAAACTTTGTCTTTTTTCCTTCTATTACTTTTTTGCCTTTTATTACTGTTTATAATATCAAGTGACGGGACGAACAAGGCGTGCTCCTGATGATAAGCTATCCGCCTGTCCATAACAGTTGCAGTGCCACTCGGATCTTTAAATCGAAAAGATCTGAGGGGCACTGCCGTTGCGCCCGTCACCCTGAGACATAAGCTGATAAGTTCCATGTGTAGAAAGAAATAGATAAGGTAGTACTACTTCCCTGGACGAGCTCCTTGTAAAAGAGGTATTAAAACTAAGTACTTTAGTTAAGTTACCTAATCTAAAAAAAACTACTTACCTAAAGCTACAGTTGTAATTTAATTTAAAAAAAATATACAATCAGGCGAGGGATTAGGTCATAGCTGGTCCGCCACTCAGGTGCAATGCGTGTTGGGGACTTCACGCGTTTCCGAGGCTTGTTAATCTTTTTTAACGCGTAGGTTTCACACGATGTTTTCCTTCACCGAAAAAGCTCATGGTAATTTTCAAATTAAACTTCGCACATATTCTTTCCCGGATTCGATCCCATGGCTTCTGCTTGATAGACGGTCGGTCGAACCATTATGCTACCCCGGCTTTATTCTAAAGGCTTATATGTATTATATTTATTTATTCTTTTATAATCAGGTTAGAAAGACCCATAAATACATACCGTATAGACTAGCATACATAACAATATAATATATCACTAAATACTAATTATTTACACGTATTGTCTGCGACGTGAGACGCAACGTGGGTGTCCGGTAGCCGACCTCGGAAACTCGGTACATGACACTGGAAGTTTCACGAAAACTACAACTTGCGGATGTTCAAAGTGAATAAGCATTTTTTAAAACAAATGCGTATTATGGTCGGTCACAGAAAGAACATCGTAGATACTACACCTATTGTTGTACAGGTTTGGGCTGTAACACAACTTAGTCTAATTTAACTTGTTCTTGAGATTTTTTCTTACTTTCACTATATATCTAATGGTTGATTAGAAAATGTACAAATGCAATACGCGCACGATCTCACCATTACATTGAAGAAAAACTTAATTATATTCCAGACAACTTGATACAGCCGAACGTGATTCGTATACCGAGTGCCTTCAGAAGTTAGCTCAAGATTTAGTTTCTCGCTACAACATCCTGTTGACCGTTATATATACTTACATATACATATGAAACCGTAAAGACACGTGATGACATGTACCTAATATTAATACTTGAATACTGCTTGAGATTTTTCCAGTATTTTTTAAAGGTTTATTGTATTGCAAGCGATGGTAACCTAGCAAGAGAACAGTTGCTTCTCGAGAGGTCGATGGTTCAAAACCCTGTGGCGATTTTCTAGGTTACGTACACCTGTGAATGATTAGTTATATCTCTTCCTAATGGTGAAGGAAAAGGTCATGATGAAACCTGCACGTCGAAGAAGATTTAGAACGGACTGGGTCAGCGTGGTGGACTATGACCTAAAACCCTCTTCTCAGACGAGAGCTTGCCCAGGAGTACACTTATAATAGGTTGACGATGGTGTTGATATAACAATTTAGTGTATATATGTTTTTTCAGATACCGCCATCTGCCATCGGTGCGCAATCGAAAGTCCTTAATAAATATTAATTCAACTGATCCAGAAGCGGCGCCAGCGTGCGCCGACATTCCAACACGCGTTTATGGGTGACGTCACACCTCTCCTGATACATATGGTCTCCCAAAACAAACCCAACACCTTAAAGCTGAACAGCGTGGCTAGGCAGTCCCGACTGTACTCCGCACGAGACCCAAGATTAAGAACTTAAACCCGAATGAAACAATACAACACACTGCCAGTATTAAATTAAGATAATAGTTTAAAACATGGAGTTCGAATTCGACCAGCCCAACGTGAAACTCAGGAATAGTCGCACTCCGAAAAATAAAGACGTTGATCCGACTGTCAGAGAGTCTTTGCTGTCCGATTCCACATCAGGCATTGTTAAAGGCGAAGGGGATGATTTGACCAGTGTTGGATCTTCTTCCTTTTCAAGCCCTGATTTGGAAGAAAAGAGAGAAAGGGTATTAACGGTTGTCAGCAAGAATGCTATTAACTGTAATAAATACAACAAACAAAAGGAAGAAGAAGAAGATGAGAAACTTCCAAAACAAGTTCAAATTACCACAAACCCGATAAATTTGATTCAAATTGTTCAGAATGACGCCCAGAAGGACAACTCTGAATTTGAAAAGGATGACGATAATGATAATAAAGAGAAAGTGATGATTCCTGACGGTGGTTGGGGTTGGGTAGTGGTACTAGCATCTTTTATAATATCCATGATTGCAGATGGTATAAGTTTTTCTTTTGGTCTCCTTTACATTGAGTTTCTAGATGAATTTCAAGCTAGTAAATCTACTACAGCCTGGATTGGAAGCCTGTTTATTGCCGTCCCTTTACTTTCTGGACCAGTGATGAGTGCTCTAGTGGACAGATATGGATGTAGAAGTATGACAGTTTTGGGTGGAATAATTTCAACTAGTGGATTTGTCCTTGCTTCGATTTCGACTACTTTAGAAATGATGATGATAACTTTTGGAGTTATTGCTGGATTGGGACTTGGCCTGGTTTACGTAACTGCAGTGGTTTCAATAGCTTATTGGTTTGAAAAGAAGAGGAATTTGGCTGTTGGTTTGGGAGCCTGTGGTACTGGAGTCGGTACATTTGTTTACGCCCCAATGACACAGTACTTTATTGAAGAATACGGATGGAGAGGTACAATTCTATTACTGTCTGGAACATTGTTGAATCTTTGTGTGTGCGGTTGCGTGATGCGAGACCCTGAATGGTGGATACTGGAGCAAAAGAAACAGAAGAATAGCGATGGTAAACTGAAAAAAGAGGATGAAAAATATTCAAGTTCTTGTTCGATTAATACGGCTTATATTTTCGACTTTGACGCTCCGTCAAAGGGAAAAAGCATGAAAGGATTGATTCAAAGAGGTATGTGTCCAGAGAAAGTGATTAAGAATGAAGCTGCTCATATACGCCGTCACCAAAATATGATACAGTTTAAGGAGAAATATTGCCAAGGAAAACTAAGATGTGAATCCATGGTGGACATACCGACTTACCTCGCTTTCAGCGACAAGGTAAACTTTTGCTAACTTTAAGAGTGTTCAAATATTTAGTTTGTTATATTATACTTTTGCATACTTTAAATTATGTTTCTGCTTACAGACATCAATGAAATTGCTCGATTCTTTAGTGAAGAACATAAGCAAGGACTACGATATGGAAGTGAAATATCCACCGTTTGCTATCAATAGAACTAAACAAAGAACTACATCGATTGATTCCCCTAAATCACCAGAAATTGACAATAGTCCTCCAGTGGTAACTTTCACAAAACAGCCGTTGCATAGAACACACTCAGACAAATATGACTTTAAGAAGGAAAAATCTTTTGAAGACTATCAACTTAAGAACCCTGAACAAGGAGATATGTCACAAAATATGTCTGCTGACAATAAAACACTCAACAAGCAAGACAGTAAAGAAAACAGAAGAGATTGGTTGAAGAAGCAATTATCGGTGAACCATCATTATTTAAAAGATCTCAAAATGCCTATAAATTCAATAAGTCACAGAAATGCAATGTTAAACATAAAGAGATACAGATTGAAAGCGTCGTCTTGTCCGGACATCTTTAAGAATTCCATGATAACCATTAATGAAAAAGAAGAGGTAAGAATGTATACATAACGAAAATTATAGAAATAGTTTTTAGACTCCTGAATTTGAATATGATTTACAAACTTGTGGCGTTGTAATAACTAACTAGGCTTGATATCAGAAAAAATAGTTCATAAATACAACTTGTGTTAAGATATAAGATAATATTTTGAAGAATATAACAAGTTGGGTAAATGTACATATTTCTCTGAAGTGGCGAAGCCACAGTAGCCACACAATAACTATTGTTTGAATTCCCAGAAATGGTACGACGACTGCGTAAGCTGTCTTGCGGACATGTTCAACATCACACTTTTTAAGAAGATGACGTTTAATTTTCTATGTCTCGGCACTATCATTCTGTTCATCTGGTTCATCGTGCCTTATTTTTACCTTGCGGAGCACATGAGTCATAAGGGTTATAGCGAAGACGATGGAGCTGTCATGCTAAGTGTGATTGGCATAACTAATACTATTGGAATGGTAAGTAAGTTATAAACCTTACTAGCCAGTAAACACAATTATTAAATCTACATCAACCATCTTTTGCTGAACAAAGACGTCTTGAAATAAGACGGATTTGCTATAATCAAAATTGCAATGTGCTGATTTAACTTAAGGGTGCGTGCAAATCTGGCGAATGCGCCGCGAAAGTGCTGCATGTGCGTTGCGCGCGCGCTGCTCGTATCCTGTGCAGCTCGCTAGCCTTTCGCAAACAGGCGTATTTTATGGTGCATTCGCCAGGTCTGTACGCACCCTAAAGATACTTTCGATATTGTACATCCATGGAAGTATTAGAGTGCTCTTCGTAATTAAAAATAAATAGTGCACTTACATTATTGCTATTATGTTTTGATACTACTTACTTCACTTACATTATTGGTAGTACGTTATTGTACTACCTACAAAAAAGGAAGGTCACTGAACTGCTATCAAAACCATTATCGTAATGGTTGCTACGGGCCTTATTCTTAATCATCGACTCGTAACAGTCGAAAATTTTAATCATTTACATTTGAAGTTCATCAAATGTAATGTCATTTTTGCCTATAACGCAATGGCGTTATAGGCAAAAATGACGTTGATATTCAATGTTGATATTCCTGTGTTTATTGCCAGTAATGAAAATTCGTAAATAGGAATCGAAATCTATGAGGTTGTTGTTGGGTCATTCCTATTTGATGTACCATTTATAGGATACTCAGTGATTTATTGCTTTAGGGGAAACATACCATATTTAGGGTCGTATTCTAGAACTCTATTCAATGCTCAAGTCAATATTGCACTGGCATCACAAGCACTGGAAATACGACCCTAATGGCAGGGACTTGAGTATGATATCCAGTGCTTTGAACCATACTCAAATCGTGACTTGAGCATTGAGTAGAGTTCTAGAATACGACTCTCAGACAACGGTAATTACTTAAGTTGTTCAAAATATTTCAAAAGTAACCAGATTTAGAGTCCGTTAAAACCACATTGTGAATCATTATTGTATTTGATCTGAGTGACCCGAATCCATTGAACAGATTTATTGGTCTGTAATTTTTTTAAAGTGCGCGTAAAAGAGTTTAAATTTAGGACCAAAGGATTCAATTCTCAAATCATTAAAATGATAATCATCACCCTATATGCATCCAACTGCGGAGCATAGGCCAGAATACGAGGCGGGAGTAACGAGGCGGTTGCCAGAAATAGAAAATTATCCAGATTCCAAATGTCTCGCTACTAATATCTGTGCCAAATTCCGTAGGCGAATTTGGATTACCTCGTCCGAGATATTATTGTCGTTGTGTCAAACTCCAACAGTTTTAATGGGAATAAATACGTTTAAATGCTGTAGGTATGAAGTTCACCGTCGTAAATTTGCCTGCTTATCGGTATTCTATAGGCTATGTCACGGGGAGTGTGCGATGGAATTGCATGATTTGATTCCGCCTTCCCCTTTCCATCATCGGGGGACTAGACGTGGGCTGGGGTTCCACCCCTATGTTGTGGATATTCCCAGGACTCGCACGAAGCGTTACGTTTCCACATTTATATGGTGAGCAGCTCGGGAGTGGATTTCCCAGCCTGCGGACTTGTTCCCCGAACGCTATAACTTGGACCTTTTCAAGGCGAGAGTGAGTAGACATTATTTAGGTGAGCATGCTACATCGTCGACTTCATTTTCACTTTCCATCAGGTGAGATGAGAGACAGAAAAAGAATACATGAAATGATTTAAAGTATACATTTAGTCTAAATTGTTTACCTATATCTTTTTATAAATCATAGTCCAACTTGCTAAATAATTTAAAGTTATAATGACTTAAACCCGTTGTGTTGTTGCCATTTGTTTTATTTATCTATCTTAAAACCGGTTTCTTTATGAAATTGCCTGAATCTTTATGATATATTTGGAAACCTGTTACGTTCGCCTTGTCATGATGCTGTAAACAGTTTTATCTTACGGTTTTCAGGTGGGCTTGGGCTGGATTGGCGACTTTCCATCAGTCTCCATCGGCAACCTCTACGCCGTCTGTCTGGTCCTCTGCGGTGCCACTGTAGCCACTATTCCCGTAGCAGTCTACAATTACTGGTTCCTTCTCTCCATTTCTGCAGCCTTTGGTCTTCTCTTCGCAGCGTCCTTTACTTTTACTCCAAGTTTGTTGGTAAAACTGGTGTCATTGGATGACTTTACCACTGCTTATGGTTTGGTGCTACTTGCGCAGGGAATTGGACATTTGATTGGACCACCATTGTCAGGTAAAAGGACACATTAGTGTTATTTAGATTCAGATTTAGATGGATTTTTTTCAAATTCAAATTAATCTTTATTTCATAGGTAAGCATTATTACACTAGAAATCGTCACAATGGTTAAACTCTACCGCTCATTCGTAAGGCAGATTCCCCTGAGAAGAATGAGCAAGAAACTCTAGGGGTTGCTCTTTGTAAATAACATATTTTTATTTTTTATTATTTAACATATATATATATATATATATAAACATTACAGTTTCCCTTAGATAAATATAGTATAGTCCCACAAAACTGAGTATTCAGTTTGACAGTGGGATCAAATGAATGTCGCATTTATGTACGTAATCTTAAAACTAATAATACATATACTTTTCCTGATACGTATTTTTAACCGACTTCAAAAAAAGGAAGAGGTTCTCAATTCGACTGCATGTTATTTTTTGTATGCATGTTACGCGATAACTACGGTACTTGAGAACCGATTTTCATGATTCTTTTTTGTTGGAAAGAGGGTACCTCCATAGTGGTCCTATTTAATTCAATAGAAAAAATCAAAAGTATGATTTTCTTCAAAATTTAATTTTTGAAGAAAATCATCCACCTCTAAGGGCTGTTCACGCATGAAGATTCATTTTTATAAATAGCGCCTAAATTTTATTGTAAGTAGCAATTATTTTAATGGTTGATTTTACTATTCTCCAATTTAAGTTTTTTTTTCTCTCAATATACTTTGAGTAGTGAGAACCGATTTTTATTATCTCCTGTGTCAAGTCCCGTATAGTGGTGAACTAGGGGATGAATTCGGGTTTGCGCACTTTCCGGTAATCGATTTCAATAAAACTTGGTAAATATATGTAATTCCACGTACTTTTGAGGTCGGTTTTTTTAGTACTCTGTACTGATGTTATAACAATAATAAGTTTGACTACAAATGCTGAAACAAAAGATGTTTAAATTTAGTTTTCTTAGGTTCAAGTCTAATAACCTCAGACGATGGAATACGTTTCTTTAGAGTTCTATCTCCATAGTAATTATTAACTTTTGGTACTACAAATTTACCAGAGGTCATTGACCCTGTGTTACAGTTAAGGATAACAGGATACAAATATGAGCTACGCTCCTGTGCTCCAAAGTTGTTAACAGCTACCAGATATTTGTGTTTTAAGCTAACAGATAGGATTTTACAAATTTTAAATAATTTATTGTAGTCTCCATTACACTTTTGTTTAGTTTTATTGTTTACAAGAAGTTTCAAAAATCTAACTTGCATATTCTCCAGTCTGTTTGTATATGAATTATTTAATTCAGTAAGTCCATAACAATCTGGAGCCAAAGTCAAGGTCAAAGTCAAAGATTATTTATTCCATAGGTAAAATAAATTTACACTTGAAAACGTCACATTTAAGCTACTGCTCGTTCACTACGCTGACCTCCCTGAGAAGAACGAGCAAGAAACTCTAGGTATTGCTCTTTTCAAATAAACTTAAATGCTATAGAATACACTTTGAATCAAATTTGTGTGGATTCTGGAGCCATGTCGTCTTTCCATACATCTTTATCTAACACGTAGTCTTCAACTTTGTAATATGATTTTTCGATCAAAATATTTTTAATGTAGTTTTTAAACTTAGGAAATGATAAACTTAATATATGCTCCGGAATCTTATTGTAAAAACGTATACAGTTCCCCATAAAAGAGTTGTTTACCTTGGTTAAACGAAATCGTGGTACCATGAGTTTGGACTTAGCTCTAAGGTTAATATTATGGATATCTTCTTTCTTATTGAAATTATGTATATGTTTACGGGCATATAAAATATTTGAGTAAATGTACTGTGATGCTGCGGTGTGATGTCATGATACCAGTCTCCTTAAACTTTTCTCGAGCATAACTTAAGATGCTAAACAATCTTTACATATATTTTTATATATTGGGAGAGGTCCAAGGTATAAGCTCAACCTTTGGTGCACCAGGCTCTACCATGAGATTACAGTGACATTTCATGCTAGCGACCGCGTAAAATGTTTATAATATAAATTATATTATACATACATAATGTATATTATACAAAACGTTCTTTATTCTTGTTACCGCTAGGGGCGCTGTACAATTTCTCATACAAAATTGTAAAGTCATTTACGCGGTCGCTAGCGACAACTGTCACAGTAATCTCGTGGAGAGGCACAGGTGTTTAACCTTTTACGGAAAACGTTAGATTTTTATGATTAAACAGCACGCCAGAAATGTCAGATACTGCAGTTAGTCACGCTTATACGTCAGTAAACCTCGATAGGTCGCAATTTGGCGAATTCGAATCAAAATATGCGACATAGTAAAATAACTTTTTCACCTCACTAGCTCGGAGAGGCTTTCTTTCTCCTTAGAAATCTGCGCTCAAAAGCGTTTTTGCACGCATTGACTTACAATTATATGGACGTCGGGTTCGCGCTAAAAAGTGTCCGAACTTATAGGGCGTTAAAATCGTATACAGAGCGTCATTCACGCTCTAGTCTTCGTTTGTTCGACTGACAGCGAAGCAAGCAAAATTAGACAGTACTGCGATGACATTACAATTTAAAAGCTTTTTTTTATTCCTTTACATGTCACTACGTTTAAATAGGTTGACTTGGGACATTTTTTTCGTGGTTTTTGTATTAGACCCGTAGTCCATTTATTTGTAAGTCAATGTTTGCACGCTAGCGTGGAAAAGGTTTTTGAAATTCGAACTTGACGATGGACTGAAAAAAAAAACCTAATAACACGTTCAAATAAGCGACTTGTCGTACATTACTTATTACTATAGACTTGGAAGTCGCACGTTTTTTCCCTGAAAAAGCTTAAAAACTTTTTGCCCACTAAAACTAAAATTACTTTGGTCCAGAGCATTCTCCGCCCGATACTGGACTACGCCGATGTTTGCTACCCGGATTTGTCAGTTACCCTGCTCAATAAATTGGAACGGCTCCAAAATATGTGTGTGCGGTTCATTTTCGGACTTCGTAAATTTGACCACGTCTCCCAGTTCCGTGCACAACTTAAATGGCTACCAATCCCCCAGCGTAGAGATCTTCATATTCTTTCCCTTCTTTACTCAATTCTATTCTGTCCCTTTACGCCTTCTTATCTCAAAGATCGCTTTACTTTCCACTCTTCTCTACTCTGCCGTCACACACCTCTAATTTTTATTTCAACTCTTTTATCGTTTCTGCGATCAGACTGTGGAGTTCTCTCCCTGAATCGATTCAAGGTTCCCCTTCTCTTGATTCCTTCAAACGACGTGTCAAGGATCACTTCCTCAACTCCTAAGTTTTGTCTTTTTCTCCACTACCTATCCTTTTATTTATTTTCTATACTTATTATTCATTTTTCTTTTTTCTTTAAAGGTATATAAGCATTTAATATTATTATTTATGTATTGTTATGTATTAATAATATTTGTATAGATATTTCTATCTACGTATATGAGTTTATTAACAATTATTGTGTAGTGTAGTTATAATGATATTATTTGGTTGCACTTTTGCATATCCCAAATCTAACCTAAGGTTACCTGGGAGAAATTAATACATAGCAATAACGCCGCCTGTTGCACATTAACTTACTATCTTTTTACCTAAGTTACTTTATTGTATTTTAACTGTAATTTTATGTGCAATAAAGAATATTTCATTCATTTCATTTCATTCATTCATTCATTCTTATTATTGTTAACATTAAATTGACAATGATAACTAATTGTGTAAACTAAAATAATTTCAATAATCACTTAATCACACAAAATAAAAGTACAAGCAAGAATAAAAATTGATGAGGTGTAAATTCCGAACGCATTCAAAGAGAAACTTTTTCTTTATAATTAAAAAAAAAACTGATGTTTTATAGTTCAACTGTTTTTCTTTCATCTACCATTTTCCTCGCTATAGTGAGGTGAAAAGTTGTGTGTTTCGCTCGGCAGCGAAGTTGTTTTGCGTCTCGTGCATTGAAACCCTCGCTACGCTCAGGAATGTATATAATCTTAGCTTCCTTCGCTTGCTGAGGATTCAATACAAGCACTTGCGTCAATCAACAACTTTGCGGCTTTGCATAACAAATAATTATTTTTAATACTGAAAGGCTCGTACACGGATCGTGTACGATTTTTTTACGAATATAAGGAATAAAAATAAACCAGCTTTTCTTGACAATCGTCTTCACAAAGTCTTAAATTCATTTAACGGGCAACGTATACGCTTCTATAATAAGATTCCGATTGATATTAAAAACTTGCCATTTACGAGGTTTAAAACTATATTGAAACAAAACTTATACTAAAGGTTATTAGTTACTTTATACCAAAGGTTATTATTATACAGCTTGGACGATAAAAATCCGTGACAGTGACCCATTTAGCTCTTGCAGGTAGTCTCGATCGAAGATGTTTAAATTAAATTTAAAAATAAAATTATTACGATGATAAATTTATTCAAATGCATATTTACAAAGAGCAACCCCTAGCGTTCCTTGCTCGTTCTTCTCAGGGGGAATCTTACTTACGAATGAGCAGTATAATCAGTATGACAATTTCAAGTGTAATTTGCTTACCTTTTTTTTTTTAATTAATTTGTAATTTGCTTACCTAGGCAATAAACATTACTTGAGTAAAGTAATTTTTAAACAGTTTTTCAGTCAATTTAAAAATGATCGTTTTTCCAGGACTAATCTACGATTTGACATTGTCGTGGGAGCTCTCCTTCTATCTGGCGGGAGGCTGGATTGTCCTCGCCGGAGTGCTAATCGCTTTCATCCAGCCGATCCTCAGCTACCTGCAGAGGAAGGAAGACGCTTTAGATAGAGGAAGTAACTCTAGCATGGCTTAGAAATGTAAGGGAACCTACTCGTAAAAATAATTTTTGTCTTCACTAGCTCAGAAAGACTTTCTTTCTCATTAGAAATGTGCGCGCAAAAGCTTTTTCCACGCTAGCGTCGAAAATGTTTTTTAATTTGGAATTTAAACTTGACGGTGGACTGTGGTGCACCAAATTTTATCTTTCGATGAAAAAAAAAAACGTAATAACACGTTCAACTGCGCTATTTGTCGTACATTATTAATGTAATATAAATCCGTTGGTATATTTTATTATTATTATTGTTGACATTAAATTGACAACGATAACTAATTTTGTTATAGTACTACCATTTTCCTCGTTAAAGTGAAGTGAAAAGTTGTGGGTTTCGCTCGGCAGCAAAGTTGTTTTGCGTCTCGTGCCTTAAAACCCTCGCTACGCTCAGAATTCTATTTTTGAATAATAATCTTAGGATCGTATTCCAGAACTCTACTCAATACTCAAGTCAGGACTTGAGCAGACTTGAGTATGATTTCAAGCACTGGAAATACGACCCTAATGGCAAGGACTTGAGTATGATTTTCAGTGCTCACTGCAGTACTCAAGTCCTGACTTGAGTATTGAGTAGAGTTCTGGAATACGACACTTAGTGTCCTTCGCTTGCTCGGGTTTCAATAGAAGCACTCGCGTCAAATAACAACTTTGCAGCCTTGCATAACAAATAACTATTAACTAATTCTTGATGACGTTGATAAAATTATTAATGATTTAGAATTTAGGCATGCAAGCATGATTTATAACTCACTGCCGAGAACAGAACATAACTAACAGGTAAACAATAGCAACTAAAGATTTGAACGCCTTTCAGACTTTGAATTAGTCAAACAGAGAACTGTATATTTTTTTATTACAATCACAAGGTATTTACTGTAGAGCCCCTTAATTAGTTAAAGATATCTAACGTGGAATGGTACAAGGTGGAATGACAGGTACCTAAAGGATTACAAAGTTCTTTACACTATCGTTGATTGTGTCATAATTATACTAGTTGCCTGGCGTAACGCACGGTTCTTGGAAGTGTTTTAGTAACTTATTACTGGTTTTACGTGGTGGTTTTACCTGTACTAAGAAACTATGAAAGGAAAAGTGAAAGATTAAAATCGAGACGAAGTTATATTAGCACAAATGCACGTAATTTACAAATTTGAAGCAAAATAGTGTATTTTTTATAAAAACTGGAACTGGACTAAAACAAGTCAATATACACCCGAGCTTTAGAGAGGGGGTTTATTACTCCGAGGGTTTATATTGGCTTTTAGTCTCGAGGCCAAAACTTTACTTTTTACTTCGATTGCGAAAAAAAAACAGTTTCCGCTCTACAACAAAATTGCGAACCAAAATTCTAAAGTTTATATTGTTTATTAACAATATCATATTGCATATTGAGTTCTAAACAATAAGAGCTGCAGAGTGTATTGGTCCTCGCTGATATTCTGCCATAATGGATAACACATCAAAAGTTATAAACACATACACATTCCTGAGCAAATACAATTCATATTTTAAAATCGATACCTCCATTATACACTACAACTTAATTTTTGAACCTGTTGTCCGTACGACGTCCGTCCCAAACAATGACTGTCAAATAATTAATAGTCGACGAAATTAAAAGACAACGGAGAACGAGAATAGATTCCCAGTTCTGTTTTGGACCTGATATTTTGTTTTTTGGTTCTTTATTTTTGTTTCATAAAATTTGGGGAGCATGTATAATATTAGTAAATAAATATGGCTGTTTACAAAAATAACAGAAAATGACGCAGCTACCACAAACGAATTTCCGATCACTGGGGGAAATATAACTGCTAGTAATCCATAGCGCGTAATAATCTATAGCGCTAGGATATTTATTGCACCATACATGGACAACCGCGGGCGCTGTTTGGCCTCTTTTAAAGACATCTCCGTTAAGGTATATCACATTCGCCCTATAGATTTGTGCCGTCAATCTTACCATCACACTCACCCTTTCGATATGAATAAATCGTCGAAGCATCCTTTAACCGTCTTCAAAAAAACAGGAGGTTTTCAATTGGACTGTATTTTTTTCCTTTATTTTGTATGTATGTTACTCGATAACTCGGTAATTCGGTCGATTTTGATGACAATTTTTTTGTGGAACTGAGGGTACCTCAGTATAGTGGTCCTATTTAAATTTGAAGAAAACATTCCACCTGTAAGGGTGGCAAACTAGGCGATGAATCCGGTTACGCGCACTTTCCGGTAACCGATTTCAATAAAGCTTCGAAGGGCGCTTTCCGAGCTATACAAAACATTCGAGTCAAACGTTAAATTTGGATTCGGATACGATATCGTTATCCAACAGCTTTTAAGAAGTTAGTCTTTGAAATAGATTATAAAAAAAATGAAAATCCTTTCGTATACGTTTTTAAGACTTTAAAGGCCTAAAATATAGGAATGCATTAGTCTTGCATTAAAATAAATTAATATAATTGAATATAGTCCAGACTTTATTTAAAATAATAAGAGATTTCTATATTACATTCCTGCTTTGTGAACAATAGGACGTTCGGTAACTTTCATTCGATAACTGTGTTCTGGACAACGTTTGTAGCCTTTGCCGGTCGAGAAGTCCGAGTAATCGTACGGATGTGACGTCATTTCCGTTCGGTTTCGAATACGACAGTTTAACGTTCGATTCGGGTGTTGTGAACAAAAATGAAAAGAAATTGGTCGATATCGAGTATATATATTAAATATCTAATTTTGCAATTTTCGTCCATTTTAGCAATGCTCAAGCAATGGTCGATTTGAAGTGAAACAGTTGACGACACCCGTCAATTGTTTCGAATTCGGGCTGGCCAATCGGAGCGCAGTTGTCACGGTAATGATAGGGCAGAATAGTTTTCAAACAAATTATATGACATTTCGCTTTCGTCTCTATTTCTGGTTATATACTCGATGTTGGTCGACAACATAACTGAGTTATCGCAAGGTTCTGAGTCAACCCCCTGGTTACATATTACATCATCACTCAAATATTCAAGAACAATACACCACACAAGCCACGAGTTAATAGAAACCAGTATAGTATCATCAAAATTGAAAGTTATGTGCATTATTGTAATGAAAGATAATATATCGGCACGTCCATAGTGATATAATAGATGTGTATGCCAGGTTTCCACAACTCGAAGTTGTAGCGCCTATTTTGCATGAGTATGTCTTTCGAGGACAGTATTATAAGTACAACGATTTATTAAATATGTAGTGAATTTAATTCTTTATATTCCTTCTAGCGTTAGTAAAACCAGGTTTTTGAACAGTCTGAAACAAAAAAAGACCCCGACACATTGTGTAGTTGATTGCTACACTAACTTTGAAGACAGCTGCTGGTCTTTAAACAGTTTAGTATATGTTTTTCAAACATAGCTAAGAACCATCCCGATTAAAACAGCCTTATAAAAAAACAACTATATCGCACATGAAAACTAATATAGTTCTATCTCAAAATTGCTCTAAGTTATATTACTATTACCTATTTAATTTCAAAGCGACAGTGTTCTCCTGTCATTTTGAAAATAAATCGTATACGAATGACATACAAATATAGCGAAATTTTGGAGATCTTAAATAAGATTGGGGATAAATTATTAATATAACGCAATTTTGAGATAAAATATAATATAACACAATTTTTGAGATAATACTATGTTAGTTGTCAAGTGCGATATATCCAAGCGGGTGTTACGATGCCACCATACCGATACACAGATATTCAATCTTGTAAATCTCCTTTTTTACGTCGGAGTTTAAAAAATAGAACGTAGTAATTAGGGTGCCTTCAAATAAGACCGTTGTAAGCGCTACAGTGACGCGTCTGTGGAGCGGCAGCCGCACCACAGATACGCTATATATAAGCAAGTGTATATAAGCGCCTATTTGAAGACGCCTTTAAATCAACAGAAGTTGACACCCACATTTCAGCGTGAAACACACTGAAAGCGGATGTGAGTCGGGTGCGTGTCGGGTCGGGAGCTCGGCAGTTGTAATAAATATACGGAATTACACCCGCCGCGCTCACAACACAAACAAATACGTTTCACGCTTTAAACTGCCTCGGTGGCCGAACGGTTACCATGTTGGACTGCCACGCACAGGTCTCCGGGGTGGGAGAAATATTTGTATGGCCTACATCTATTTCTCTCGTGAGTTTGGGTGTAATTTATGGTTGTCTACGTGTGTGTCCATGACACCCGATACAGGGTTTCAAAGTGCGGGGCTATGTATGTGCGTTATTACATTCTGCCTTATTAAACTTTGTCGATGTTATTTCTAGTTTCAACGAGTGAAGTGACATCAATCGATTGAGATTTAGGCTTGTAACTATTATAATATTATGTACTAGTTTAGAAATATATATATTTGAATTCTCCCTATTGGGATAATACGACGTCTTATCAATAACAATCTTAATTTCAAGACAGTTTTAATAGTTAATTTGAACGCGTTGTCGTTGTATGTTACACCTATTGAATGTAGGGTTAATTGCTTCCAATTTGTTTAATTCGGGCAATAACCTGCCTTAGACTTTGTAATTGCCTTACTTAGAATATTATAATTAAGTAAGTTTGTTTTGAGTTCGCGGCGATTCCTCCGATGTCGGTCGTTCAAATGAATTGGACAAGTTCCGGAAAGACCGTGACACGAGGTGGGTGGAATCGTCACGGGTGGAAATGGCACAGTCCGAATCGCCTAACTTATAGTTAAGTATGGACGGAGTGGGAAGTTATATTTGAAAGTGATGTTATTAGTGAGATTTGTATTCGACGTTTAGAATTTTAAATTTGTTATGTAAGATTTTTTGTTAAAATTTGTGATATGAAGATTGTTTTGCTACGTTCGATTAATGACGATTATGTTTAAATAATAGTACTTGGTAATGTTCTATGTTAACGTGAGTATTGGAGTTATTCTGCGACATATGAGCCAAACTACCTTTATGATAT